TTCCATGTCTAATGACTTACATTGGTACATGTTTTTAAAGGGCATAAGCATTTGCACTAGTACATACGAGTACTTCTTTCCTCTTTAGAATGATTTTTCACTTATTTTTCGTAAGTATTTCATATATCCGGTAGATATGCAACGCTATACATATATGCCAATAACCGATTTAACCTCAAATTTGCAATATATCACCAAAAGAAATCGGAAGTGAATTTCGGTGAAAATATACTAGTTTTAATTTTTTTCATATAGTCAAGTGAAATACGAAAAGCCGTAACTAACATCGTCACGTGAAATGCAAATAGTCCTAACTAACAAATGATGTGGGGCCTTGTAATTCGATCAAATCCATCATAATCAAAAAACAAGCGAATTTTCGATTTTTTGCTACTTACGGCCTTATGGATTTCAGGTCAGGTGTCAGTTACGGCTTTTTGAATTTCAGGTGACGTTATTTATGTGTATGTCCTGATGCTGTGGAGGAACAGCCATAGTTGCATCCGAAAACGAGGCATAGAAACGGCATTAATCAGTTGGCAGATATGTTCTCAGTACGGTCAAATGTTTGAAATTATTCTGAGATTGTGTTTTAACAGGTTAGTAAGATGGTTTATGCTTTTTGAGGTTATAACCTGCGAGTTGACTTACTCTGTGGGCATTTAGTACTTGCGGTGCTGTAATTGTGGCATTCAAATCTTTCGAAATAAAAATATAAAAGACAAAAATATTTAACTTCGTACCATCATTGTAAAAACTACGGTAAAACTGTAGGCCTCTCCATTTGTGTAGAAACATTAAGACGCAGAACACATATTGGAGGAGAAACTCGGCCAAAAACTTACCAAAAGTGTAAGCGTAAAAATATTATTTTATTCCTAATTTTAAAAGTATGTAAACGTAGGCATGTATGAATATGTGTATGTACTAAAATTAATAGATACCGCTATCTATTGTGGCACATTCCCTTTGTCGCTAGTAACGGTTTGCATATAAGTGCACATACATATCGTTACCTTAATATAGAAAGGCCCTACCTCATATAGTAGCTGAAATACAAAAATCCGTAATCAAGTAAAAATCCAAAATTCCCTTTTGATTGATTATGATGCGTTTCATCGAATTCAAAGTCCCCACATCATTTTAAGCAATACAAAATTTTAGTTAGTTACGGCGTTTTTGCATTTCAGTGACTATATGAGTTAGGGCCTTTCTATATTAAGGTAACGATATATAGTTTGATAAATATATTAAAAAGCTGTATATCATGCTCGCTCATATATACGGACTCAAGCGAAAAATCAGTCGCTCATAGGTATAGATATTTTCACACACACGTACACGAAACTATTTAGGACGTCAACTTAAACACGAATGTAACAGACGCACAATAAATAAAATAACAGCAGTTAAGCAAATACATATGTACAAGTATATGGAGATATTATCAGGATAGCTTAAAATACTTATGCAGGTTTTGTACATTTTTTGTTTTTTTTTTACATATTTCTATAATTCCAATTTCCGCAACTCACTGATATTTGCAGGCGCACTAGTCCTTGTGTTTTACATACACCTTGGTCTTGGAAAATACCCGTATATCGGTTTCAAGTAGTTTTAGTTCTTTTTCGATTTCCGCTTTGCGTACGCGCATACGTAAAGTTTCAGTTGTCATCGGCATATGATTCAGTTCATTGACGAGTGCTTTGAATCCTGAAATTTAATTGTATGTAAATAAAAGCAATATATAGCTGGTGTATTTTGTAACTAACTTGTTTCAACTAATTGTAGTGCTGCTTGGCGTTCTTTGTCAGATAGTAGATAATGCCCGGGTGGACAATTCGGGTCGCTTTCGCTTTGTCGTTGACGCTGTTCCTCCTTTTCACGTTTTTCACGCTCCAAATAGCGTGGTAGATTCAAGTTGTCGCGAGCTATAAAACAGCCCAGGATATGAAAGCAAATTTTGTTATAAAAAATCTCGTTATTGATCGAACTTACAACCCAGTTTATGTATGCTACCACTAGAACGCTTCTTCGCTAAGTCTGTAGTGCTTTGGTGTGAGTTTTGTGAGAAATTCGTGCGACGGCTGCGTCCAGATATGCATACAGCTTCTACGCCGCCGCTGTTACCAGCTTCATTATCGCAATCACCGCCAGCACCATAATCGCATTCGCCACCCGGTCCTATTACATTATTCAACGACAGATTTTCAAAAGTGCTGCGCACATCATCCTGTACATGTGGTTGCATACGGTACTGACGTGCTTGCGATTGTTTTTGTTGCTGCTTTTGTTGGTCAGGTGGTTCATATGATGATTGCATTGTTGTAGTAGGTGGTAATCCATCGCTTTCCACCATATTGTAACCGTTGCTGAAGTGTTGCTGTGAGCGTGGCGTTGGTGCTAAGTTGTATTTAGATGAGGAGTTAAGCACATATAAGGGTTCAGCACTCAAACTGCCCACTACATCTTCATCGTCGTCTTCAGTTGTATTCTCCTTTTGCAGTCCGTCGTGAGGTTGTTCATTGTTGTGATGATTTTCGTATTGATCTTGCATGTGAGGCTGTTGCCGCGTGGTACAAGCATTTTCCGTGGTATTTGGATAGCCTACTTGGCCTGCATTATTAATTGGTGGTGGGTAAAACGAATTTCGGCTTTGTGCATCCAATGCGGTATGGTTGGAACGAGGAGTAATATTTAGCTGTAGGCGATTCAAATGCGACTGACAATCATTGGTGGTGCAGCTGAATAGATGTTTGATTAGAAATGAGCTCACATTAAAGATATAAACATATGTATGCTTAATTCTCTTTATTACCGCTTTAGGGCGTCGTATAGAAATTGTTCATCTTGTATATCTTCAGTTTGAACTTGCTTATGCACAGATTTTACGGTATTTGTACTACCTGTACGAGAAACGCTGTTTCGGACAATATGATTACCTCCATCGCCAATACTACCGGCAACAGGGCCGCGAACCACACGTCCGCTAGGCACTCTTGTCAATGATGGACACCGCGTGTTGATTTGTTTCTGAATATTATAATGAATTTGATGAAAAATTTTGAATTAATTGGTTTACTCAACGAATTACATCTAATCCATTGTAATTGTTACGTTGCTGCGATTGGGAACGTCGTCCATTATATCTTTGTTCTCGCATCACTTGTTCTTGCTGCTGCTGCATCCTATTTTTACAAGTTACACGTTGTAGTTCACGTAAACTCAATTTATTCTCACGTAGGAAGTTGCGGCGATTACGATCCATCTCTGTTTTAAATGAGAAGGCGTAGTAAGTACATATACATATTTATTTCACTATTAGTACTGCTAGTCTGAAAAAATTCTTGTGGATTAATAATATAAATTTGGTAATTGTTGCTCGTAGCAACCACGACGGCGTAAACAATGGCAACAGCAAAAGTGGACGCACACGTTCATACACCGCCGCTTTGTACTTACATATTTAATTATGTTATTTGGTTTTATAGGTAATTTGAATACTTACTGGGCATACTGAAGATGCCCTTTAACGTTTCCACAGGTTTCACCGACGTTGCAGACATTACATTTTTACCACGCTCTTCTGCGACTCCTCCGCCGATCAAGCAAGAGCTGCTGCTTTCACTTCTCCGCTTATTTCCCTCCGTTTTGCTGCTTTTAATGCGTTATAAATTCGGACAAAATAAATATTCTCTTTACAAATTGTAAAAATAAAAAATTTCAAAAGAAAATTTGAAAACATTTGAAGTTTCGTACCCAAAGTCGAATTTTCTGTTTTTATATGACAGCTGGTTGTCAAAAAAAGGATGAACGTATGTTTTGACCAGAGAACGTAATTTGCATAAGCTGTGTATACTAACAAATAGTCGGCACTAATTTGTACTGAGGGTCAATTCTCGTTCTGCGTTATTGCGAAGTGATAAAAATAACCCTTTTACACCGCATTTATTTCGGTGTTAATTTTATACTTTTCACTTCACTTTCGGATAACGCAGAACGGGAATTGACCCTCTGGAACCTTTTACTGGAAAAGTATACAAATAAAGTTCTGAACACATTGAAAGCGACGGGCCACGGGCCACAGCATTCAATTTTTTATCTTCATTGCCTAAACGCTTTATCGATGACGATATGATTTTTTTGAACGCCGCTGCGACATCTTGAGTTTGTATGAGTTTGACATATAAGTAGAGGAAAAACATCATGTGTCGCTGCGAAAATAGAAATTGATCTCATCTGACCACAACCACGGTCGTCAAAATAATTATCTAAATGAAAGTACGTGTTAAAATAATTTGACAGCTGTGGTCCGTAGCTCGTCGTTTTCATTGTTATCGGCCTATGATAGTCAAAGGTGTGACTGGCAACTCAGTGCGGCTCTCTATTAAGCTACTATGGTATCAAAAAATATAAACAAACGATTTAAAATTCATAAATTTGTTTTCAATTTGACTTTATACGATAGTTCTTATGAAAGCAATGTCAAATTCATTAACTTTTTGTTAAATACATTTTGATAGTAACCCAAAAATTAGCAAGAGAGCACTGAATCGAGAGCGTAACAACACGAGATAGCTGCAAATTCTGCTAGTGAAATTTTTACTAACAGAAGAAGAACAAGAATAAATGTCAAAAGCCGTCATTTGTTGAATTGGTTCAGCAGAAACAAAAGTAGAATTAGTGAAAATCAAAATATTAAATATGTACCGGACTGTGTAAGTGCTTGTGTGTAAAGCAAAGAGTTTAAAACGGATTTATGAATTGTAAAATATTTACAGCAGGAATGTGAGAACAGTGGAACAACTGTTCACTTGCAAGTTTTTACTAGTTTTGTGTTCAATAACTTTTTCTGCTAGTTTTCTCTTCTCTATTTTGCTTTTACACTCTCGCTGCGATTTGGACTCGAAAAGTTACTATACACACCTATACTTAACGTTCTCTGCAAAAGTAACAGTGCTGCCAAGTAGCAAAGTATTTGTATTTACTTATAAGAACTAAAATTAACGAGTTTTTTTCTAATTTCCTCAAATAATTTGTGACCAAAGTGGCCATTCTGCAAAGAGTTTAATGATTTTTCCTTTTTTGTCTACATTTATATTTTTTTTGCTGCAGGAAATCTCCTTTCTCATTTTTAATAACATTTCTGTTCCAATTGCAGCATCTGGTGGACTGGTCAAAGGCCATGCTGCCACAAATATCGCAAATTACCCGCCATTATGACGAATGGGTTCATAGGCCAGTCGACAGACCATTGCGTCTCTTCGGACCATCATATTTGGAGATGTTTACAAAAACGCCTTGGTGGGTTATACCGCTTTTTTGGATACCCGTTATCTGCAAATGTATTTGGGATGAGTTCTCACAAAATTGGAGCGCACCTAGCACAAGCACCGTGAGTTCTAATGAGTGCAATCACAACTATTTTTTTTGTTAATTAAAAATAAAACACTTTTTTTACAGCTATTATGCATCTTGTTTACATCCGGCATACTTTTCTGGACTTTGCTTGAATATATTCTGCATAGATTTGTATTCCACATGAAGGTGACCGCCAGTTCCAATCCATGGTTATGCACATTTCATTTCATGATACATGGTCTACATCATAAAGTGCCTTTCGATTCGAAACGTCTTGTCTTTCCGCCACTGCCAGGTGTCATTATTGCCACTATCATATATACACCTATCAGTTTCTTATTGCCCCATCCACGTGCTGTGTTGGCCGGTGCACTCTTCGGATATCTGTGCTATGATCTGATGCACTATTACCTCCACTATGGGAATCCTTCATTGCAGCACACACGCTTCATGTACGATATGAAACGGTATCACTATCAGCACCATTTCGCACATCAGGATATGGGCTATGGCATCAGTAGTCCTTTTTGGGATACCGTATTTAATACTCGAATACGTTTGCGAAAACTGCGATTCCCATTGCGTTGGCGGTAATTGCAGTCAAATAATTGGTGAACCAAAAACTAATAAATGTTGATTCCTAATATTAGCTTATGAACAATGTTTTTTTTTGTAATGATAGTATTTACTTTTCATATGTAAAACATTACCAAAGAAGAAACCTATACGGAGGGAACATTCCTTAAATATAAATAGTATATATCTAGATACATACATACATATGTACAAACATATGTTTACTAATAAGACACATGCTGAGACAATGCGTTAATCTAGTATTACTGAGTTTAATAACAAAGTAATTATGAACTGCTTTAAAACTATTGAAATCATCATCACTTTGTTTTTTGTTTATTACTTAGTGCTAAGCATAAAATAAAAACTGTATTTTCTGATGCATATTTTTTTCGTACAAATAAATGATATAAAAATTATAATAGACGTAAAAAGCAATAATATAAAATTAAATAACACTTTTACCTGTGTTTTAATTTACAATATCTTTGGCAAAACCGTAATTGTAAATAACACATTGCATATCGACTGCTGAGTGGAACAACGAGCTATCTCGGTAGCCAGTTCGAAAATGCCCTATCTAAAAAAACTTCAAGACCGCCTTATTTGAGAATTCGTTTCAAAACTCCCAATCTCAGCTGCCGATTCGAAAACGCCCTATATCAGCACATTTTCTATACATTTTGAAGGGAGAAAGGGCATTTTTGAACCGAATTCTGAGATGTAGCGTTCTTCAACCATATTCTGAGATAAGGTGTTTTTCAGTCAAATTCTGAAATGGGGCGTCCTTGAAAAGTTTATTGAGATAGTGCGTTTTCGAACTGGCTGCCGGGATAGGTCGATCTTCCACTCAGTACTCGATATATTCACCCTCGTTGCGAGAGTCGTGTCGCAGGCAAGTCGTTTTCCTATAGTCGAAAAGCATCGAAAATTTCACGTCATTGCCTAAAATTCCACTCGACTAGTCTATTGAAATGGAAAATGGCAATTTTTTTATATATGATTGTGTCAAATCTTTTTTTTCACGTTTATTACTTCAACTGGTATAATGTCAAATTTGTTTTTTTACTCTTATTACTTCAACTGGTATAATTTCACCATGTGTAAATTCCAGATCAAACTATTCTGACAACTTATCCCGATATTATAATCAAAGCCGAGCTAGCAGGCCACTTTTGATTTAGGTACAAGCGAATACTGTAATTAGCAGTGCTGCCAAGTTTTAAATGGGGTAGAAGCGCGTTTTTGTGCCAATTTTCACATTTGTCGTTTTGTTTTATTTGTTTTACAGAAATTAGTTCCTTCATTATTGCAAAATATAATTTAAAGGAAACTATTATTGTGAAGCTAAGTAATTGTAATAGAAATGTGTAGTGTATATAAGATATTCGCGCTATTCTTCCAGCTCCGAAGCACGTCATCTGTAAAGAATTTGTGTAAAAAATTAGATGAACCGTTAAAGAATAACTAATTAATAGGTGAGTAAATACCTATATCGATTTTCATTAAATTTTTGTTTAAAAAAAATATATTTAGAACTGCTTCAAGTCCATTGCAGTTTTCCATGTATTTTATATGGGGAAAACACACTTTTCCGTAGAAATGGTATAGATGGTATTCTTGAAAACCAATCGGCCCTGTATGAATATCGGCTGTTGTTGTTGTAACAGCGCACAGATACCCCAGATTTATTTTGGTGAATGTTGCTGGAGTGACAGTGCTGGGCCAGATGTAAACCTGGGTCGTTCCGGTTACGTACACCCGACTGTCGTAGGGAAACGGCACCGTCATGGTCGACGATCGTCAGCTGACGTCCCTGTCCGTATGGACGGACCCTGTTCAAGTCGCACACTTCCTGGGCCTCCCCTTAGCCGGGCGGGGCTTAGTAGCCGCTACAACAACAACAACGATCGTCAGCGCATCAGTAAAATGTCTGACGATGGCCGTATCGTCACTTTTACGTTTACTCTGTTTCTCTTCACAAGACTTCCAACAATAATAGCCAATTGTTTATTTAAACATTTTTTAATATTTTATATTTTTTTCGATCGAAAAATATTGATTTTCAAGAATTCTATACCATTTCTAATTCATGGGCTTTGAGGCAGTTGTAAATATAATTTTTTTAACAAAAAATACGTGTATTATTTTTTCCATTTAGTAAAATCCTAATTGGCGAGATCTAAACATTTAAAACTCTTTTTATGACCAACCCACGGTGCAGGCTTTTAAGGCTGCTTAGTATTTCAACCGTTGTCGTCAAGCGCAACTGTATTCCCAGGAAACGTGCTGTTTCGGCGAGGTCGGACCAGAGGGAGATGTGTATTTGTCCTGATTCCAATATTGTTGTTGTTGTTGTTTATGTAACAGCATATAAATTCCTTACAAGTGTTTTTGGGTACTGATGCTGGAGTAACAGTCCTTGTCCAGATATGAATCTGGGTCTTTGCGGTTAGGTAGCCCCGACTGTTGTCGGAATGTCCTGATTCCGATGTGGTTGGAGATACATACTTCTACTCAATCTGAGCTAAGGATGCTAAAGATGCATTAACAGTTCTTGTTTTTTTTTTTTTTATAATAGCGGTTGGCCCCGGCAGGAAATGGCATGAAAAAGCTGCTAATAAATAACCATTTTTCGTTCTGAAGTGACGTCTCCGCATTTTCTGCGACAACGTTAAGACGCACGCACACCACAAATAGCTCTAAAATTCATTCAACTTTTTTGCTCATCATCGTTTAAAATTTTAAATGTATGTATGTACTTCGTGTGCTTAAAAAAAGTGTACCAGTTATTTTGTTGTTTTAAGTCCTGCTAGTTTTATTGAATCTTGTAAAGTTTATATATTTAAAGATATTATATATGCTTAGGTAAAGTAGATGAAATGAACAAAAATCAAGTGAAGCAACTTAGGACATTTAATGTAATCGGCTTGAATAGTTTCAGCTGTTCAATACAATAAATACATTTTATAAAATATAGTAGTCATAGCATAAAATTAGAATCACTTAACTTAATGAATTTGTGTAGTATTGTAGAGTATATCTGATATATACCATTACAAAGTTATGTATGCGCTTCCAGTTTTAAGTGTTAAAAATTACGCAGAGTTGAGCTTGCACAATTTATTAAGAAAAAAAATTTACCCTCAGTTGCATAGTTGTGTATTATCCGCAAAAAGTAGAAGCAATTTGTTGTTTTACAGTTAGTAACGACGGTTACAACTGTTAGTTGTTGTTTCTTATGACGATGTTATAGTGGTTATTGCAATACTCATAATTTACTTTTTCTTCTTCTTAGCATTCTTCTCCACAGGCAATGCCTCCGATTTGCGCTTTTGATTTGTCTTTGCTGGTGGTGCACTAGTTGTACTCGCGCCAGTCGAGTTCTTGGCTGCTTTCTTCTTTTTCTCTTGGCGTTCCTTTTCTTCAAGCTCAAGATTCTCTCGCTCAATGAGTGTGATTAGGGTGTTGCAGCGACGTTGTAATTCAAGCGCTGTACGGGATTTAATGAACCAATCGAAACGAAATTCTGGTGATGAACTACAGATTGAAAAAGAAAAAGAATTAGGAGATACGTTCTTTTTTCAATTTCCGGTTTAATATTTCTTACCGTATAGCATCCCGTAATTCCTCGTAGACATTTTCTTTGTCGAATCCGAGCTTGTGCAACATACAAACCAGAAAACGGTCTTCACGCTCTACGTAATTTTTGCCCTTATTATTGCCATACTGCAGACGTAACTGGTGGAAAGGTGCGCGATAACGTGACATCTGCAAAGGGAAATTGGAATTATATTTTTAAATTTTTACGCATAATTTACACTCACCTTCTGGTCCAGTGCCTTTTTTATGGACAGTCTTCGTTGTATCTTCGCTTCTCCGCGCTCAATTTGGCCCATAATTCGTTCGATGTCCTGCAACTCATGGCAGCGCTCCCAAAACACTGCATTGTATTCTATGACCTCCTCAGGCGTTTTGCCTTCTACATCCTTAGCAATGTTTTCGATGTCATCACGCCCATATTTTTCGTTTGCTTTGATAAATTGATTAAAATCACGTTTGGTCCATGTGGTGAAACCCTGTGTCAACAGGGACTCCTTCTCGGCAACCTCCTCCTCGGTCAGCTGCTCTGCTTCATCAATCTTACGTTGTTCTTCTCGTTGCATTTTAGTGGCTTCAGAGCCTAATTCAGGATTCTTTGGCACTTTATAGCCTACTGTTTTGCGGAAGTAGTAGATCTCCTGATCAAGCAGCTCAAATAGACGTGGCGGAAAGAATTGAAAATCTTGAACAATAGGCTGTTTAGGTGGGCGGGGCGCTTTCGGTGCTTTTGGTTCCGAGACGCGCAACGCCTCTCGGAAATATGCATCGACAGCGTAATTAGCTTTGCGCTCACGCTTAGGCGGTTCGATCCAATTGCCTAATGCATTCAGTTTCTGTTTTTCACGGTAATCTTCACCTTCAAACTGATACACAGATGTAGAGCCGCCTTCGCCGCCACCAGTATCAACGGTAAATGTGCGCAAAGAACTTTCACCCAATTCATCGAGCTTAGCCTTTTCTTCTGCCGTCTTCGCCTCGCCACGTTCCAAAATACTATCAATATCTTCGTCTGTGAGTTCTGAATCTTTTGAAGCGAATACATGGTTAGCGCCGAATCGAATAATATTCAACATTTCATCTTTGTTCAACTGTGCAGTGCGGCTGTCAACGAGGCGACCTTGTTGTATGACCAGTTTGTCTAAACGTAATTTCACTTCAGCACGTTCGACAATCTTCTCTTCCACTGTGTTTTCAGTGATGAATCGGAATACCCGCACCTGCTTCTTTTGACCGATACGATGTGCGCGATCCATAGCCTAAAACGAGAATAAAGTGGGTTTATTTGGAGTAATAAAATTGTAAAACATCATTCGTGGATACCTGCAAGTCCATTTGTGGATTCCAATCTGAATCGTAAATAATAACTACATCCGCGGTTGCTAAATTAATACCCAAACCACCAGCGCGAGTGGAAAGCATGAAGACGAATTTAGTACTATTGTCCATGTTGTATTCCTGTATTTGTCGGTTTCGATCCTCGTGTGGTGTTTGACCATCTAAACGGCAATACTGGTAGTTGCGCCACAGACAGTAATCTTCAAGAATATCCAACATACGAGTCATTTGTGAGAATATAAGTACACGTGAACCCTGTTCTTGCAGCTTAGGCAATAATTTATCCAAAATAACCATTTTGCCAGAGTTATATACTAAATGCGTGTCTGTCGTATACGGTGGACCGGGCTCAGCCCCATCGAAAAGATACGGGTGATTGGTACACTTACGTAGTTGCATCAAAATATTCTGCAAACGCATTTTCTCTAATTTACCGGCGCCATTTACAACATCTATATCCTTCATCAAAACTTTTGTATACCATTCACGCTGCATTTTGGACAAACCAACAAATATTTTGATTTCCTTCTTAGGCTTAAGGCGACGTTCCACTTCGGCTTTGAGACGACGCAACAAGAACGGTTTCAATACGGCATGTAGACGGGTTATTAGTGCGTCATCACCCAAACAATTGTTCGTATTAAACCATTCATCGAAATCTTCCGATGAATTGAAAACATCGGGCAACAAAAAGTTTAGCAAAGCCCACAATTCATGCAAATTATTCTGCAATGGTGTACCAGTGATAAGCAGGCGATTAGCTGTTTTAAACTCGCGCAAAATTTCTGAAAGCTTAGATTTTTCGTTTTTGATGCGATGTGCTTCATCTATAACCATGTAACGCCAATTGAATTTCTTAAAAACAGACTTCTCACGTATGCACATTTCATAGGAGGTCACGCAAACATCCCACTCCCCAGGTAGTAAAACATCACGTATAAAAGTATTACGCGCATCCTGATCACCAATGAGACAGACGGCGCGGAGCGACGGGCACCACTTTTTAAATTCGATAACCCAATTTTGCAAAGTCGATTTTGGTACAACGACAATATGTGGGCCGGCTTGATTTCTGCAATAAGTTCAATCTTGCTTAGTGCATATATTAGTAGGAATACAAAATGCTAACTTACTTGAAATGCTTTAGATAACCGAGCAAGGAAATTGTTTGCAAAGTCTTACCCAAACCCATCTCATCGGCCAATATACCATTGATGCCATTTTCATAGAGCGATATCATCCAATTCAAGCCACGCACCTGATAATCGCGCATTTCGCCATTTTTAATGTAGCTAGGTGAGCTCTCAAAACGGAAGATCTCTTTCGATGCCGTATCCTCGGCCAAGAGCTCCTCATCTTCCTCCTGTTCGGTTTTACGGTGCCTGTGACTAATAATTGCAAGTGGACAATAATTGAGTATTAATGACTCATTTTTAAATTGTAAATTGTTATTTACTCACTCAGCATTGCCGTCCTTCTCCTTCTCTTTTTCTTTATCTTTGTTCTTTTTCGGACGTCCTTTAGGTTTTGTTGGGCTCTTTGAGCTATTTGTCATGAAATGCGTAAAAATCTCAGTTTGCTTTAGCAAGAAATCAAAACGTTTGCCACGATCAGTTTCGATTTTATTGTCGAAGTCCACTTCCTTCTCAGCAGAAGAAGTGGTTGCTTCGGAAGTAGTCTCATTCTGAAATATAAAAAATGGGTATTAAACATGCACCAACAAACAATATTTTGCCGCGTGTATTTTTTTTTACAAATAACATGCTGGCCCGGCATTTCCAGCTGTTCTCAGCGTCGCTAGTGAATGCAATTCAAACGGCGTGGCGGGGCTTCTTCGACGGCCACACGTATGTACATATGCATACACACAAATGAGACTCCGCTTCCTTACATTTTTTTGTGAATCTTTTCTACTCACCGAATTATCATTTGCTTCCATTACTTCGGCTTTCAGTTCTTCTTTGGACATAGTCCTCTTTGTAAGAAGGCTATTTTAATTACTTATATTGATATTTTTTAAGATTTCCCACAGTAATTTTAACTTTTTCCACACCAAATTTTGCTAGCTGCAGACAAATTTTCACAGTAAAATAAGACAGAAGGAATGGAATGAAATGAAACAAAGAAAAGAGCGGCAGAAAAATGCGGTACACGGTTGCATTTGCGACGGGTAGAGTGTTGCCAGAAAAATTTCGTTTGGAGCTTTAGTTTAGTTTTTATATTAGGGGTCTTCCCTTAAACTAGTAAAAGCCTCGTAATTCTCGTAAATTTACGAGCCTGGTAAAAAAAACTATCAAAATTTGTACAGAGCACTATTGACGAGCCCCTCGTAAATTTACGAGGCAAATTTGATCCCCAAATCACGTCGTAAACTTCAGCGTTGCCGAGGGGCCGAAATTTTTTTACTAAAATGTATGAAAAAATAATGAAACAAATAATACGCGAATAAAATGAATGAATTTCATCCACTAACGGTATTGACTTAGGTTTTCTGCTAATTTTCGGTATTTTTAATTGTACTTTAGGCAAGAGTTATTGAGACAAGATGGCGGGATGTTATGGAAAATACTACGAAACAAAAATTAAAAAATCTTGGGTTACGTAGCATTTTTTAGCAAAATTTGCCTGAAAAGTTTTATTTCCTTCTCTCCTTAAAAGCAAAAATAGTAAGCTAAAAACAAAATCCGCGCGATCAGAAAAAGGATTTTCTTCTAACTATTAATCTAGATCCAAGAGCTTATGGTGGGGTCTGTATTTCCCCGTGGATACAAATGAATGTTTTTCCACTGCTTTTCGAAATTTGTAATTTTATCGACGCTTAAGTTTTGGCTTTCTTTTTCTACCGTGGCCGCCTGGGAGAAAATGCACCTTTTGAGCTAATGGGAGCTGGAACTACTGTTCGGTAATGTTTGTGTGCTCCCGCGCGAAATAGAATAAATAGAATAACATAAAGGTATCGAAAATAGGCTGAGATCTGCAAAGCCAAATAAATTTTAGTCAACACTTGTGCAATGAAATTACAGATTTGTAATTTTAATATATTACCAAATACAACTAAAATTTTCTGGGGCTAAAAAAGTGCTAGATAATTCTGAAAAGAGCTAGGAGCTAAAGCCCAATTTTCGGAGCTAAATAGAAAAATTAAGAGCAAAATTTAAAAAGTAACTAAATGGCAACACTGGATGAGTGTAATAAATATTTTAACGGCATTGCGGCTACGAATTAGAATTATAAATAAAATTTATAAAACATAAATTAAACTTCTTGTTCTTATTTATGCGCTATACTAGATTTGCAGTAAAAAAGTAAATTATTAATATTATGGGAATCTCCCAAAATAAACTCCAATTTGTTTAATACATACTATCTAAATTTTTATTTTTCAATTGCCATTTACAATGGAGGCTTTGCACATTATTTATTAAGTACTAGACAAATATTTATGTAGAAAAATTGAGATTGTTAAAATACGAGCCCACATACATACATAAATGCATGTTTGTATATTTGTAATACCTTTAGTAAATTGCTAATTTTGAAATGCTTAAACTAAAAAGTTACTGTCCGACACTCCCACCGCTGCGCTGACATCCGGCAATACACCATAGCATATTATCACCGCCGCTATCCGACTCTCCGTCCTAGCTATCACTCTTCTGCGTTTTCTGCATTACCTGACGCAATTGTGGGAAGCTACTCTTAGTCGGTGGTGGATGTAAACGTGCACATAGTGCTATGAATGGTTCATACAAAGACGGACGCTCCATAGCATTTACTGTGTAATGTTTTATACGTTCACGTGCACACCAATTATTTGCGCGATTCAAAACAGACTCTACTTGATCGGGCTGTTGTTGTTGAACTTGTGGCTGCTGTGTAATTTGTGTTGGTGGGGATGCAGGCGACTCACGTCTGTTTCGTGCTCGCATATTGGCCAACACAATTATGGCAACATTGTCCTTTTTCTCCTTGCTACGATCGATATCAGTTTTAATATCGGCCAACATGTCCAAGCTGCTGGGATCTGTTGGATCGTATACGAGTACATAACCATCGGGAAAATAAAGGTAGTGCCGCGGCAGTTGACCCTTCCCTTGTAGACCAGCACTGTCGTAGATACGGAGCGTTTCACGTGCGCCGCCACGACCTGTATCGACACTTGCTACATATATGTCCTCAATTGTAGGATGAATCTCCTGAAAAAATATATATATATATTTACATATGTATGTATATCTAATAATGATTTTGAGTGGGTAGAGCCACCATTCAGATATCCTATCTTCTTGGTTAGAACTACCGTACCGTATCCATGTTGACATTGCCATAAATTAATTGTTCCAGTAGCGCGGTTTTTCCCACACCTTTCATGCCACAAATGAGCACTTTACCTACTTTACCAATTTTAGCGGTCAGCATTTTATCGAGATCTAATTTTTCACACTATCCTTTGTTTATATTTGTTAATAACAAATTTCAATAGCAGCAACACGAACAGCTGATTTGGTTACAGGGTTGCTCAGTTCGGTAAAAATTGCACGAAATATGTACATTATAAGAGGTACGCACGATACATTTGGGCATAGAATGCAAATTTCGGTACGTTTTTTATATAAATTTACTGCCTCTTGGCGATGAAGTTGGTTTGGCAATTTTTCACGGGAAATGTCTGCAGGTTGCATGCTTTAAAGAAATATATATATAAACAAGTAAAAAGGTCTAAGTTCGGGCGGAGCCGAAATTTAAATACCAGGCGCAAATATTAAATATATGATTTTCACCTTTCCGAAAGCTACCGCTACATGGTAAGCCGGGGTGTATCAATTTTAAGTAAATTAGCTTCCTTAAATTTCGAAATATTGAGTTTTAGGAATTTCTCAAATTTACCGTAATATGAAAAGCGGCCGTAATTTTAGTCCGATTTCAATAATTTTCAACATTTTGCTTTTATGTGGCAAACACAATAACCATACCGAGTTTGGTACAAATTGGTATAACGGTTACTGAAATTCAATCCAATCTTGCTCGGAACTCATGTCAACAGTTACGCTGGCATTTCATCAAGCAAGCAGCATACGTTTAAAAGCACAACAAGTTGGTCAATCGTCAAACGTCTACACATGTATAACCTGGTGTTAGGGAGCTAGCTGAAAAACTCCCGACCATTTAAAGGAGCCATCGCTCCTACAACCCAAAAAAAAAAAACGGTTACTGAGATACATATATGTGATCATAAGTGGGCGGTGCCACGCCAATTTTCCAAAATTTTATCATAAACGTATTTCCTGGTAAAGAATTGTTGCAAGCATAAATTTTGAATAAATTAGCTTTAATATTTACTGATTTATAGAAGATTTTGTATTTCTCTAAATTACCGTTATATGGGATGTGGGCGTGGGTATTGTCCGATTTTTTTAATTTTCGGCCATTTAGTATGCTGTACCAAGTTTGGAAGAAATTGGTGCAGCGGTTACCAAGATATACACATGTAACCATAAGTGGGCGTGGCTACGCCCATTTTCTAAAAATGTATAATCTTATTGTTCGTCTGAAAATGATTGTAAATATCAATTTTGAGTGAATTATCTTTAGTAGTTACTAAAATATCGCAGTTTTCGTATTTCTGGAAATTACCGTTACATGGGAAGTGGGCGTGGTTACAGTCCGATTTCGCCCATTTTCAATACCAACCTACCTTGGATAAATGGAAACCTACATACCAAATTTCGTTGCGATATCTTAATTTTTGATCGAGTTATCGTGTACACGGACGGACGGACAAACAGACATGGCTTAATCGACTTCTCTATTCATTCTGAGCATTTATGTATACATCTGTCTATATCTATCTCGATTCGTTTTGGCTGTTACAAGCAACCGTCTGAGCGAATTTTTATTTTTAGACAGTTTTACTAGTTTTAGTCCGAGGAACATGGGATTGCACCTTTTGTTCTAAAATTAAAAGTATATTTTTATACCCGTGCGCACTTGCTCATAAGGGTATATTAATTTTGTTCACATAACGGTTGTTTTTAACAGCCAAAACGAATCGAGATAGATATAGACAAATGTATACATAAATGCTCAGAATGTATGTATGTATGTAGGTTTCCATTAATCCAAGGTAGGTTGGTATTGAAAATGGGCGAAATCGGACTGTAACCACGCCCACGTCCAATATAACGGTAATTTCCAACGAAAACTGCGATATTTTAGTAACTACTGAAGATAATTCACACAAAATTTATATTTACAATAATTTTCAGACGAAAAATAAGAATATTATAAATTTTTGGAAAGTGGGCGTAGCCCACTTATGGTTACATGTGTATACCTTGGTAACCGCTGCACCAATTTCTTCCAAACTTGGCACAGTTATTGGCCTTCGTACAGCATACTAAATGGCCGAAAATTTAAAAAATCGGACAATAACCACGCCCACATCCCATATAACGGTAATTTAGAGAAATACAAAATCTTCGATAAATCAGTAAATATTAAAGCTAATTTATTCAAAATTGATGCTTGCAACAATTCTTTACCAAGAAATACGTGTATGGTAAAATTTTGGAAAATGGGCGCTGCACCGCCCACTTATGATCACATACAGTATCGGTCATATCTATAGCACGCAATTTGAAAGTGATATTGTGTGCCACTTTTGTTTATTTATTTATTTTTAAGAATTTTCAATTAAAATTTTATTCATTCTCGGACAAACCCCATATATACCCAAGTTCAACAATTTGTAGAAAACTACAAAAATTGTAACAAATTTTCACCTAAATTTCAAACTTTTTTCTCGGAAGTGATAGAATTTTTTTGAGGACACAGTTTTTTAGCCCCTGCAATTTTGGTATTATAATGTGCAAATTTCAAGTGGCTACGAATTACCGTTAATTTTTTAGAATTTTTTTTGTCGCATTGGCTTCCGTATAATGAATAAACTCAATTTATTTGTATATGGAAGAAAACCCCAACATCCTTGGCGAAAAAAATTCTAAAAAATCAGCGGTAACTTTTAGCCACTTGGAACTTGCACATTATCAGACTATAATTGATTGGGCTATAAAACTGTGTTTTCAGAAAAATTCAAACACTTCAGAGAAAAAAGTTTGAAATTTAGGTGAAAATTTGTTGCACTTTTTTGTAGTTTTCTATAAGTTTTTAAACTTGGGTTTATATGGGTTTTGTTAGATAAAGAACTGTATTTTAATTGAAAATTCTTAAAAATAAATAAATAAACATAAGTGGCACACAACATCACTTTGAAATGGCGTGCTATAGATATGACCGATACTGTATATGTATCTCTTTGTACCAAACTCGGTATTTTTATTGTGCTTGCCACATAAAAGCAAAACGTTTAAAATTAATGAAATCAGACAAAAATTACGGTCGCTTTTCATATATCGGTAAATTTGAGTTATGCTTGAAACTTCAATAATTCGAAATTTAAGGACGCTAATTTACTCAAAATTGATACACCCCGGCTTACCATCTAGCGGTAGGTTTCGGATAGGTGAAAAAACATATATTTAATACTTGCGCCGGATATTTAATGTTCGGCTCCGCCCGAACTTAGACTTTCTCACTTGTTTTAGTTCATTTTGTTTTTATATAAATCATTTATATTCAGGGTTGTCACTGAATCCATCGTAGTCCGATTTTTCGTGAAATATACAAAAATACTCTCTGTGCCATAATTTTAGTGTTTTTTCTATTGCTACGCTTAGAAAACTTATTGGTAAAAAGCAAACAGAATAACGTCAAGACGTCTGCGCCAGCAGATCTTCCAAATAGGCTTTCGAAAGACAGAAAATAGCTTTCTGGATAGTTGCCGGAAAAAGTTGGAAATAGGAGATATAAACAGTGGGGTAATTTCATATAATAGAGGAAAACGACATAAATTTTAATATGCCCTATTAGCTTGATTTCAGTAGTAACCTCTTTTTGAATGACTACATTACATTAATCTGTTGAAAAATATTAAAAAAATAAAGTGAAGCTGTAATTTTTATCTATGGAACTTCATACATAATCACTTTACACCAGTCACACGAACCTGTCCTACCAGTCACAATTTTAAATACTTTTTAATATTTCTATGAGGCCTATAGCAGCCTAATTTTTACTGAAACCAAAAGTGTATAGTTCATATTTTACAACACAAAAACCGCTTTCCTGAAAATTAAGTGTTTTGGCTAAAATTCACCTTTGAGTGCATGTATGTATGTAGTTTAAAAAATAAATTAAAATATACCAACAGGTTAAAACAAATTTTTACAAAATAAAAAAGTGTATAAATGTAAAAAAGAGTATAAGAATAAACAAAAAAAAATAAAAACTTAATAAATTAAATGAAAGTAGGGATTAAAGTGTAAATCACAATTAACACTGAAAACCTATTTGTCCGTATAAAATAGTAGTAAAAGAATATGTTTTATAAAAAACTTAAAACAAATTACAAAAAAAATGTTGTTTTGCGATCCTGCCAGGAGTCGAACCTGGAATCTTCTGATCCGTAGTCAGACGCGTTATCCATTGCGCCACAGGACCGGTTGCCGCTTGCGCGTCAAATGCTGTAAATCAACAGCGGCATAAAATCAAGTTGAATGTAGTGCGTAAGAAGAGCCACAATTGAAAGCTTTGGCGCTCAAAGAAACGCGAGCGAAAGAGAGAGAGTAAACCAAGTTGAAACATTTGGCGAGGTTTCTTGATGTTTTATCAACCATTTTGACTCCAATTGCTTACAAAGGTTTACTAAAAATAACTTAATTGTTATATTAGATACACAACATATGTATGTATATACATATGTACATGTACTATATAAGTTTGAATACGCGTACGTATAACTAAAGAAAATAAACAAAAGAACATATCAGCCGTAAACATTTTTACCCCACAATTGAGGGCCAATTGACTACTAATGTGCATATGTATTGCTGCAGCGCGTGTATATATTGATTGAGGCCATAGTAAAAATATATGTAAACAAAAGAAGTCCATTAATAGAAAATGTGCGACCGGCTAACAGCAAATAAAATGAAAGTCAACCGATAACAGATTAAAAATATGTAATATATATCTAAGGGGTATTCTCGGAGTCTTGCAAAGCCCTTGCACGTTGCACGGATTGCACTTTAAAAACCGGTTTTCCTATGGGACAGCTTTGCAAACCGTGCAATTCATGCACAGTGCAAGCAGAGAACATTAGGGGTATTCTCTGAGTCTTGCAAAGCCCTTGCATGGTGCACAGATTGCACGGATTGCACGGTAAAAACCGGTTTTCGTATGGGACAGCTTTGCAAACCGTGCAATCCGTGCACCGTGCAAGGGCTTTGCAAGACTCAGAGAATACCCCTATTGCTTATATGTTCTCTGGTGCAAGGGCTTTGCAAGACTGCGAGAATACCCCTATATAGTATAAGGACAACTGGTGAGAAGCAACAATCTATGTATGTATGTATATAGGTAAAATATAAAATGATAATTCCAACACATAGTAGCTAT